CGCCCCCGGCCGCCCCCTCACCTTGACGCGGTCCATGGCCTCCCGGGCCTGAGCCATGCGTGTGCTGGTGGGCGGGTTCCGTTCTGATACCAGCTGGGTGGAACCCAGGTACCTGGCCCCAAATATGACACCATCCAGGAGGTCTTCATGGTCACAGGGACCGGGCACTGAGGGCGACAGCGGAGAGGGTCGGCCCTCAGGGGCCCACTCCCACGGGCTCTGCCCCAGGGCTGTGCTCTCCGAGATGGTCGGAAGACACAGTGTTCTAGCTGGTGGCTGAGCACTCTCCAGCCAGGAAGCACAGCCCACTGTTCTAGAACCATCCAAGCAGCCTGGCCCTCATAGGTCTAGAACCTTCTGTCCATCCCGCAAGGACTCGCAGGCGGGAAAGCCAGTGAGTCCAGGCCATGGCTAGATTCAAAGCCAGATCTAGCCCCCACAGATACCTTCACCCCATATCCCCAGAATTCCCGGATCGGGCCAGAACCAGACAGTCCCACGTCTACATTTTTTGAGACACAGTCTCGCTGTCGCCCAGGCTGGAGCTCAGTGGTGTGATCTCAGCTCACTGCAACCTCTGCCTCCCAGGTTCAAGTGATTCTCCTGCCTCAGCCTCATGAGTAGCTGGGATTACAGGCGCCCGCCACCATGCCTGGCTAATTTTGGTATTTTTAGTAGAGACGAGGTTTCGCCATGTTGGCCAGGCTGGTCTCAAACTCCTGACCTCAAGTGATCCACCCGCCTTGGCCTCCTAAAGTGCTGGGATGATAGGCGTGAACCACCGCGCCCCACCCCCCACTCCTATTTCTAAACCTCCACAACATTCTAGAACCACAGTGGACCTCTGCTTCTCGGTTCTGGAGTTCCCTCAATCAATCTAGAACTGGCCAGCATTGCCCACTGTTCTAGAACTGTCTCCAGTCAGCCCAGGATAGCTGTCAGCTCTGTGCCTGGGTTGTAGAACTGCCCAGAATAGAGAGAGAACTGGCTGCCTGTCTAAAAAATTCCCATACTGTCCAGAACCCCAGTTGGTTCTGACCCTTGATTCTAGAACTCTGACAGGTCTCATAACAATTCTGTCAGGAGTTCTAGAAACTTCTTATCCCTCTAGAATCAGACTTCTCCGTGATTCCAGAACATCTTAATCACAACGGCGTCAGGCAGCTCTCCCTGTGGTTCTAGAATCTCCTTCAGTAGTTCACACCTTTGGCTACACCAGTGATTCTAAGAATTACCTGACCAGGTAACACACAATTCTGTTCCAGGAGAATTCCAGAACAGTTCTAGAATACTCCCAACCCAGCCCAGAACTACATAAAGCTTTACTCCTGGCCAGGCGTGGTAGCTCACTCCTGTCATTCCAGCACTTTGGGAGGCCCAGACGGGTAGATCACCTGAGGTCAGGAGTTCAAGACCAGCCTGGCCAACATGACGAAACCCTGTCTCTACTAAAAATACAAAAATTAGCTGGGCGTGGTGGCACATGCCTGTAATCCCGGCTACTCGAAAGCTGAGGCGGGAGAATCACTTGAACCCAGGAGGTGGAGGTTGCAGTGAGCCGAGAGAGATCGCGCCACTGCACACCAGCCTGGGCGACAGGGCAAGATTCCGTCTCCAAAAACAAAAAGGGGGAAAAAAGAAGCTTGACTCCCATGGTTCTAGAATTCCCTGAGCTACCTAAAGCCAGACAGCTCTGCTGGTGGCTCTAGAATATTCTAAGTAGTAACTACTGCTCTTTGGTTTAGAACCACAGGCGTAGGGCCCAGTTCTGGATACCCCTCAGTGAAATTCATCCTACACCACAGTCGGTTCTGGCCACTGTCATGATTTCATGACCTAAACATTCTGGAACAAGAGCTGCACTCTGGGGTTCTACAGATGCACCATTCAGTGTGTAGCACCAAGCACATGTATCTGTCACAGACTTGAAATGTGGCTTCTCTGAATAGAGACGTAAATAGAAAATATACACTACCTATTGAAGATTAGCATGCAGAAAAGTAATTTAAGGCCAGGCGTGGTGGTTCACGCCTGTAATCCCAACACTTTGGGAAGCCAAGGCGGGCGGATCACCTGAGGTCAGGAGTTTGAGACCAGCCTGGCCAACATGTTGTGAAACCCTGTCTCTACTAAAAATACCAAAATTAGCCAGGCATGGTGGCGGGTGCCTATAATCCCAGCTACTCGGGAGGCTGAGGAAGGAGAATCACTTAAACCCGGGAGGCAGAGGTTGCAGTGAGCTGAGATCGCACCACTGCACTCCAGCCTGGGCAACAGGGTGAGACCGTGTCTCAAAAAAATAAAAAAGTAATTTAAAAATATTGATTATATGTGGAAATAATATTTTAAATATGTTAGCTTAATTAAAATGTTATTAAAGTTAATTTCTTAGCCAGATATGGTGGCATACGCCTATAGTCCCAGCTACTCAGGAGGCTGAGGCGAGAGAATCGCTTGAACCTGGGAGACAGAGGCTGTGGTGAGCTGAGATTGAGCCACTGCACTCCAGCCTGGGTGACACAGCGAGACTCCGTCTCAGTTAAAAACAAAAAAAAAGTTATTTCACCTGTTTTTAATTTTTTAATGTGGATAACTATAAAATTTTAAATCATATATGGCTCACATTATATTTCCATCATTCCATCTAGAACTTTCTGATTACACTATAATTGGACAGCTCTGCCCACAGTTCTAGAACACCAGATAACTATTCCCTCCATGGTTCTGGAATTTTCCAGTCTTGAGTAGAAGCAGATGGCTCTGTTCACCAATTCTGAGCATATTCTCATTAGCCCAGACTCCTTGAACCTAGAAACACAGACAAAACGCCAAGCCCGGGAACTCCCAAGGCGTCGCAGCTCTGCTCATGATTCTAGAACCTTCTTAGAGCTATAGGTTCAAACCAGTTCTTCTCTCTACAACGACAGAGCTGCTTTTTTTTTTTGAGACATGGTCTCCCTGTGTCACCCAGGGTGGAGTGCAGAGGCACAATCTTGGCTCACTGCAGCCTCAAGTGATCGTCCCACCTCAGCCTCCCAAGTAGCTGGGGTTACAGACCCATGCCATGCGTCCGGCTAATTTTGGGCGGGGGGGATTTTATTTTTGTAGAGACAGGGTTTTGCTGTGTTGCCCAGGCTGGTCTCCAACTCCTGGGCTCAAGCAATCCTCCCACATCAGCCTCCCAAATAGCTGGGATTACAGACCCATGCCATATGCCCAGCTAATTTTTGGGGGGATTTTATTTTTGTAGAGACAGGGTGTTGCTGTGTTGCCCAGGCTGGTCTCGAACTCCTGGGCTCAATCAATCCTCCCATTCTGGCCTCCCAAAGTGTTGGGATTACAGATGTGAGCCACTCTTCCTGGCCAGAACTTACTATCTGAGCTATATTCTTAGGAAAGTCTAGAACACAGGCTGGGCGCGGTGGCTCACACCTGTTATCCCAGCATTTTGGGAAGCCGAGGTAGGTGGATCACAAGGTCAGGAGTTCGAGACCAGACTGACCGAGATGGTGAAACCCCATCTCTACTAAAAATACAAAAATTAGCCGGGCATGGTGGCGGACGCCTGTAATCTCAGCTACTCAAAAGGCTGAAGTAGGAGAATCATTTGAACCCGGGCGGCAGTGAGCCGAGAGTGTGTCACTGAAAAAAAAGTCTAGAACATTCCAGAGGGCCAGAAATTGTTCTTCCCATGCTTTTAGGGCAGCGATTGGCAAACATTTTCTGTAAAGGGCCAAAGAGTAAATATTTTCAGCCCTGTAGGTCACAAGGTCTCTGCTACAGCTACTCAGCTCAGCCATTCTAACAGCAGAGCAGCCATGGACAACACATGAATGACCAAGCATGATGTGTACCAATAAAACTTTATTTATGTACACTGAAATTTTTTACTATTATTATTTTTTGAGACGGAGTCTCACGCTATTGCCCAGGTTGTAGTGCAATGGCGCAATCTCAGCTCAGTGCAGCCTCCACCTCCCAGGTTCATGCGATTCTCCTGCCTCAGCCTCCTGAGTCGCTGGGATTACGGGCACGCACCACCACGCCTGGCTAATTTTTGCATTTTTAGTAGAGACGGGGTTTCACCAATGTTGGCCAGGCTGGTCTCAAACTCCTGACCTCGTGATCCGCCTGCCTCGACCTCCCAAAGTGCTGGGATTATAGGCATGAGCCACCATGCCCGGCTTATGCACACTAAAATTTGAATTGCATTTTTAAATTTTTGAGACAAGGTCTCGCTCTGTTGCTTTGGCTGCGTAGTGCATTGGCATGATCTCGGCTCACCGCAGTCTCAACTCCCTGGGCTCAAGAACTTCTTTCACCTCAGCCTCCTGAGTAGCTGGGACTACAGGCATGCACTGCCATGCCTGGCTAATTTTAAACATTTTTTGTAGAGATGGGGTCTTGCTATGTTGCCCCAGCTGGTCTCCAACTCCTCGGCTCAAACAATCCTCCTGCCTCAGCCTCCCAAAGAGCCGGGATTACAGGTGTGAGCCACCATATCCAGCCTAGTATATCATTTTCACGTGAAGAAATAGTATTCTTCAGCCCGGTGCAGTGGCTCACGCTTGTAATCCCAGTACTTTGGGAGGCCAAGGCGGCCGAATCACTTGAGGTCCAGAGTTTGAGACCAGCCTGGCCAACACAATGAAACTCCATCTCTACTAAAAACACACAAATTAGCTGGGCGTGGTGGCAGGTGCCTGTAATCCCAGCTACTCGGGAGGCTGAGGCAGAAAAATTGCTTGAACCCAGGAGGCGGAGGTTGCAGTGAGCCAGGATCGCACCACTGCACTCCAGCCTGGGCGACAGACTCTGACTCAAAAAAAAAAAAAAGAAAGAAATAGTATTCTTCTTTCAATTAAAAATGTAAAGGCCACCCCGGCACGGTGGCTCACGCCTGTAATCCCAGCACTCTGGGAGGCCAAGGCAGGCAGATCGCTTGAGCTCAGGAGTTTGAAACCAGCTTGGGCAACATGGTGAAACCCCATCTCGACCCAAATAAATACAAAATAAAATTAGCTGGGCATGGTGGCATGCACCTGTAGTCTCAGCTATTTGGGAAACTGCGGTGGGAGGATCACTTGAACCTGGGAGATGGAGGTTGCAGTGAGCTGAGATCAAGCCACTGCACTCCAGCCTGGAAAACAGAAGTCATCAAAAAAAAAAGTGAAAAGAAACACACACACAAAAACCGTCTTTAACTAAAGACCTATGTGAGCAGACAGTGAGCTGGGTCTGGCCCGACGATGATGATTTGCCAAGCCCGGCTCTAGAAGCGAGTGCTGCCAGTGGCCAAAGCTGCCCCACAGCCCCCTTCTCACTATACCCTGTTCTCAAGACTGGCTCTCCTCTCCCTGGTCAGCTGGGATCTGCTTGAAACCACCCTCAGAGCCTTCTGAGAACCTCATCCTTCCTGGCAAACTGTTGCCAGACTTTGGAAGCCTGATTCTGGCTGTCTAGGGGCCTTAGTGCCTGAGGCTAGGGTGGGCGGGACACTCACCCTCCTGGGGGGCAGGGTAGGAAGCCAGGGTCTCGGGGCTCTGGAAGAAGACAGAGGAGGGGCAGGACTGAGTCCCCCTGCTTGGTTCCAGGCAGTCCAGGACACCTGGAGGGTGGGGCGGGCACTACCTGGGCACCAGCGGGTGGCTCTTCAGGTGCGACTAGAGGCACCGTCTCCAGCCAGGGTTCCGGGGAACTGCTTGAGCTCCTGCTGCCCCCCTGCTCAGCAGAGGCCCCCTCCACCCATTCTGGGGAGTCAGAATCCTCATCTGGGTCCTCAGGGGGCTGCAACAGTCGGGGGGCAGGCTCTAGAGGCTCTTCAGGACCAGGCTGGGAAGGTGAGCATTCCTCGCAGTGCAAGAGGCTCAGCAGGTCATCCCGGCCAGCTTCAGCAGACAGCAGCCCGTGGGCATCGGCGATCTCCTGGGAGGCCAGGCCGTGGCCTGTGGCAATGTGTAGGGGACAGGGGGTTCCATCTGGGGATGGGCCTACCAGATCACCCGGCAGAGCTTCAAACTGCTGCACCAGCTCCTGAATGCTTGACTCATCAAGTTCCATCCGACTCAGGCTGCCGGGGCCTCCTGGCACAGGGTCCCACTGGCTGTGAGGGGTGAGGTCCTCAGAGGGCACAAGAATGTCCCTAGGCTCCTCCAAGTCCATGGCTGGAAGCCCCGAAGAGGATCGGGAAATTGTGGGGAAGTCCATGCCTGGACTCCAGGCTTAGGCTAGCATCAGCAAGCAGCTGAAAGACAGAGAGTCAGCGCTGAGGTTTCACCCGGGTACAGTGGTTCATGCCTGTAATCCCAGCACTTTGGGAGGCCAAGAAGGGTTGACTGAACCCAGGAGTTCAAGATCAGCCTGGGCAACAGAACAAGACCCTATCTCCACAAAAAATACAAAAAAAATTAAGGCCGGGCACAGTGGCTCATGCCTGTAATCCCAGCACTTTGGGAGGCCAAGGCGGATGGATCACAAGGAGTTCGAGACCAGCCTGACCAACATGGTGAAATTCCGTCTCTACTAAAAATACAAAAAATTAGCCAGGTGTGGTGGCGGACGTCTGTAATCCCAGCTACTCAAGAGGCTGAGGCAAGAGAATTGCTTGAACCCGGGAGGTGAAGGTTGCAGTGAGCTGAGATCGCGCCATTGCACTCCAGGTTGGGCGACAGAGCGAGACTCTGTCTGAAAAAAAAAAATTCGCTAGGGGTGGTGGTGTATGCCCGTAGTCCCAGCTACTTGAGAGGTTGAGGTGGGAGGATCACTTGAGCCAGGGGAGGCAGAGGCTGCAGTGAGCCTTGATTGTGCCACTGCACTCCAGTCTGGGCGACAGAGTGAGGCCCTGTCTTAAAAAAACAAAAAACAAAAAACAAAAAACCCAAAAACCATAAAACCTGAGGTTTCCTGGGTGCCTATCCGGTGCTAGGCTCTAGCGGGTACTGTTCACACAGGGTACGTAATTTAATCCCCGACAACCCTTACAAGGAGTTAGGATTCCCATTTTACAGATGAAGAAACTGAGGCGCAGAATGGGGAGGTGTGAGGCAGTGGCTTCCCGAGACCCTGTATATGTCATCCCAGACCTCTCCCAACTAATGACGTCTGCTCACTCCAGCCCTGGTTCTTCCAAGTCCTCCTCCCTCGAGACGCGGAACCCAGAATGGAGACCCAGACCTCACACCCTAACTCTACAGACTCGTCAGAAGCAGGTCCCCAAGACCCCAGACCCAAGACCTCAGTCCCATGACCTCAACCCCCAATACCTCCATCCAGAACTTTAGACCCAGGACCCTGGACTTAATACCAGAGACCCAAGACGCCATAAAGCAGACCCGAGTCTCCAAACCTCCAATGTTACCCCAAGATCGACTCCAGACTGAGACCCCGACTTCAGGACCCAGCCCCAAGCCCAGACTCCAGTCCGCCCTCAGACCGAAGACCTCAAGCGCCGACTCAGACCCCACTCTGCACCTCGAGGACACTCACTTCCCAAATCGAGGCCGCCTCAGCCCCGCGCAGCCTCCAGGACCCCGCGCCCCCAGTACGACCCCGACATAGCCCAGACCGCGCCCCCAGAAGACGCACCTCGGAGATTCCCGGTCCCAGCGCTGGCTCCTCCATCCGCACAGCGCCCTGGCCCACTGAGCATGCGCGGTCTCGCGAGGCCTGCTGGGAAATGTAGTTCTCTCAGCCAGCCTCGCCAGGAAGGGGCGCTGGGACTCCTGGAGGTGTTGGAGCCGGGGTTCGAATCCCATGCTTCCCTGCCCGCAGGCAACCCGGGCTGGCCCCAGGACCTGTTTCTTCCCCTGCAAAATAGGGTTAATAATCACTGCCTGGCTCCGGGGGCCGTGTTCATTATTCCAAAGGATGGCAGATGGGGAGAAGTGGGGTTGGGAAATATTAAAGAAGTGTGAGAGGTGGTTTCCGTGGGACCTTGAGGCACCGGAAGCGACATGGGAACCCTGTTGAAGACGGACTTCCGGTTTGGCTCACAGTAGGGAGACAGGTTGGTGCACCCTGGATTTGCGGTCGGCCTGGGAACCTTACCTCCCTGAGTCTCAGTTTCCTCACTAATAAACTGGGGAAAAAAATAGTACCTACTTCCTAATTGTGAGGATTAAATTAGATCGAGTGGGTTAAGGATTTAGCAGTAGGGCTGGAAAAGAATATATAAAATACATATTATTAATTTGTATATTATATATAATACATACTATGTGTTATATATATTATATATAATAATGTTAAAAATATGATGTTATAAAAATTAACAGTGATTAGACTCCAGGCCTACTGGGGTATATTAGACTCATTGTTAATCTCTTTAAAGCTTTGAATAATTACTCATTGGATGGAATCGGGAACATATAAAGTGTGATATTTTTAGTAAATGTTATGTAATTGAAGAAGGGCAAGAAGAAGTCAATGAAATAGCCCTTGAACGCCTCCTTCTACAGTAACTACGTATGTCTACAAGTCTAAAGAAATCACCATAGAGTATGAGAACTTGGGAGACTACATTTCCCAGACACCTCCACGGGGCCTACAACTCCCGAGCACCCCTTGGACCACTGACGTCTTCCGGAAACGTGCACGTGCAAGCTGCCCGCAATACGTCATGGCGACCAGACGCCTTTTAGGGGCTGCCCGGATATGGGCCGGCTGGGGGACCCGGGAGCTCCTAGACCCCGCCTCTCCTAGAAGGCTCCTGGTCCGGGATTATGCTAAGAAACCAGGTGAGCTGGGTTAACAGGAACCAAATGAGGACGGTGGGTACTCTGAGGAATTGGCAGTGCGCAGGCGCTGGTTGGGGAGGCGGTGGTAGAACTAATGCGCAAACGCAGAGAGGCGGATGCCAGGCTGTAGGCGCAGGCGCAGTTTGAGGGACCCAGCGCCGCTTGGAGCTCGGGCGTCTGGCTTGGAGATAACCTTAGCGATTGGACGCAGGGCGCAGGCGCCAGCTGGGGAGAGGCTTGGGAGGAGGGTGTGGGTTACGTGGAGCCCACGCGTTTCACTGCGCAGGAGCGGGTTGGAAGGGATTTGCCGGGAGTCTGGCGAGGTCATGAACTTAGGTTCCAGTCCTGTTTCTCTGCCTGCCTCCAAATCGCAGGGTGACCTTGGCCAAGCCGTTACCAAAAATTCAAAGAAACTATGGAGCCTATTTAAATCTTAGCCACTTCAGCAAGAACAAACCAAGGTTATTAAGGTTTAGCTGGATACAGCCTTGCCTGATCTCCTTTGTTGAAAGGGGAAAATTGGCAAATGTTCGGCCTTAAAGACAGACACATAGCAGACAATATAACTTGAATGACTTGGTCATTCCAAGCATCGGTGTTACTTAATGCTATGTCTAAATCCCACTTAAAGTGATTTTAAGGCCAGGCATGGTGGCTCACATCTTTATTTCCAGCACTTTGGGAGGCCAAGGAGGCATGATCGATCGCTTGAACCCAGGAGTACGAGACCAGCCTGGCCACATAGCAGGACCCTGTTTGTATAAAAAATAAAAAAGTGCCTGGCACGGTAGCTCACGCCTGTAATCCCAGCACTTTGAGAGGCTGAGGCAG